TGATCCAGGGCTCCTCAACATGGACGAGACACAAGATTATATAATGACGTAGGACCCACTTGATATTAAGTAAACAATCATATTACTGAAAGTAGCTGGCACTCAAGAATACTGGGGAGTTGATTTATCTCACTGTCTTGCTAGTACGTCACGGTTGGATTGTTAAGTGTCTTCAAACGTCATTCACAAGTCAGGGAAATCATGGTGGCCTGGGGGCAACAACATGTACCGTCTAAACCATGATGTCCCTGGCTTGACTCCAGCTGAGGGCCTTTGTTGCACATCATCCATGCTCTGTCTGTGTTTCCTGTTCATATCTTGACTATATACTTTCAATAAAGGGCAAAAATTCATAAAAACTTAAGCCCTGTCCCAAATTCACACTGCATCCTAGCAAGCACTATCATCTCTTGTCGCAGTACAGGCCTTACTGTCTTGCAGTTAAAAACCAACATAAATTACCATTCTGTGCTAACAGGAAATCACATAAGACATGTACTAACAAACACATGTCCGTCAAACTGCAACTTTGAAGATTCTGCTAGTTAAACTTCATAAACAGACAGCAACATGTTTTCCCGAAGATGTAATACTTCTTGTTTGTTTTCTGAGGTAACTCTGGGCTGTTTTACCACCATCCATCTGCAATTACTTTTAATGTCCTCCAGCTGTGAGCAGCTCTTTCATTTCCCTTGTGCATTGCATTGTGGGACAATGGTAAACATCAGCACTACTTTCCAAAATCGAGCATTTCTTAAAGGTCCAGTGTGTAAGATTTAGTAAGATACAGTGGCTTCTGTGGTGAGGACTGCAGATTGCAACCAGCTGAAATGTCTCCTGGTTAGAATTCATTCAGTGCTTATTGTTCAGGAGGTTTTTTACTGGGAGCTGAATTATCCGCAGAGGTCTCTTCCTCTCTGAAACAAACGGCTCTTGTGATTTAATCCGGTAAAAATACTGAATAAAGCAGCTTCAGGTTTAAAAGATTGGTGTTTTACCAACGCTCTTGTTGCGGAGAGGCTACTAACTACAGTGGCCAACACAAAAATGTGAATGGTCCTATCTAAAGACAATGTCTGGGCTACTGTAGAAACATGGCCATGCAACATGGTGACCTCCGTAGATACGAAAATGTTACAAATCTTGATTTCGGGCAATTATACACTAAAGAAAACACACTTTCTGCCAATATATCCCCATAATTCCCATACTCTGGATCTCCAATTGTGCATGTTGACTCATCTTGAGTCGACTTTTCTGGTGTAAAAACATTCAAACTCAGCTTAGAAGAGTGTGAAGGATAGATTTAGAAGACAGCAAGATAGGCATATACGATCATTTTTAGGTACTGAATTTAGGATTTAGAAATTCGACCTCACAAACATTCCTCAGATGTGATTGAATTTTAACAAACTGAGTTTTCGTTTATTCAAAAAAAAAAAAAAGATGGTGGAAAGGAAAAGGCTTCGGATTGTTCTCTGTGCCAAAAGAATCACTTAGAAACTTAATCATATCTGATGTTGGGGCGTCTCTTGTGGGAAAATTCTGTGCAGATGTGACTAATCTCCTTCCCAACAATGTTTTCAACGATTGCCGGTGCCTGCGAAACAAACGTTATTTTGTCTGGCAGGCTGAAATCCTGCCGATAACATTAGTTCTGCAACATTCATCCAAAAGAATCAGTGGCTTCAGACACACTTTAGAGTGATCGAGTCTAGGTCTCTCAGACAGTAGTCATGGGACAGAACAAGAAACCGGACCGTGACAGAAGTTATGTGCAGGTGTTGACAGCTGTCCTTGTTTTTCACACCATGAAGCATTAACAAAATGCTAATCAGTCACTGGAGTGTCACAACTGACCCTTTTGGGTAAAGAAAAGAATGACCCAGTTAATGTGGACTGCTGCTGACTCAAGCCCTGAAGCGGTTTCCCTCCTTCTCACCTCTCTGGCTCAGTTGGTGGAAGTTTTTATAAGATGCCTTTGAAATAAGACAAGACCTGCAGTTGCTACAAGAGAAACGTGTTAGATCTCGCCCCACCTGTGCCCCATTTGAAGACATTCATGCTTTGTTTCACGCCTGTCTCTGGAACATCACGCATACTGTGGCTTTTGACATCCCCACTTTCTGATTGCAAACACCATGGCCAGTCATGCATCGATAAATATAAACGATTACGGTTCAGTTGCCTGCTCTGTGAAAGTGTGAAAGTGAAAGTCTTTGCAGCAGCAGTATTTATCCACTGGTGCTCAGGGTCAAGAAGTTAAGTCAGGAGGTTGACTTTATTATCATACAGGGATGGATACAATGGCATAAACACATGTTCTATATAATGTGATCCATTGTAAGAGACCCCCAAACAGCCTCCCGCTGATAATGTTCTCTCCTGCAGTTGAGAAGGAAATTGTCCATAAAAGGCAAAGTGGTTACTCTTTCGCAACCATCTCAACCGTGTTTTTATGAACTGAACAGATCTGTCATTTATCCAGAGCTCAAGGCTGCTGTTTCACTGCCAAATGTCATCGCAAACAAATGCTGACTTGCTCTTGGGTTTAATATCTTGGCTTCCCACGATGATCCCAGAGGCTTGGTAAAGGTAAAGATGAAGAAAGAACATGTGAATGTGATAGAAAAGCATTAGAAAAACAAAACAATAGGTGTTTTTTCATGGTTGAAATATCACTCACCACTTTTTAATTTCATTCAGACGGGTTTGTGACTGGATCAAAGAAAGCATTATATCAGTGAGATTTATTTTATTATTCTTTGTGGCATTGACATTAGTAGTTAGGAGACAAACAGAAACAGATAAACACGTAAAAGTGATTCTTCCCTGAGTGATGTTGAAATAAATGGTTTCGTTATCTGACCTGATTTAAAGGTTTGATTTCAGACTTTAAATATTTAGCTTAAGGTAAGCCTCTGTGTTTAATGAACCTCATTGACATGTCATGTTCGCCTACCTTTGATCGCCTCAAAGTAAATGATTTACTGTTGAAAACAACTTCACTTTCTCTCAATGTATCAGCTCCGTTCATGCATTAACTCCCTTTTTGAAATCTGTTTTGAAACAGGAGCTGCAGACGGACACTTTTGGTTGTTTCTTTTTCATTTCACTGTCACAAGAAACATTATTCTCTGCATCCTTAATCAGTTTACAGATGATCCTGCGGTTGGGATAATAAATTTTAACGGTGATTTTCACACCGGTGACGTTGAGCAAGAACAGGTTTCCTAAATAAACAGCAGGACTCCTTCTTGGCACTCAAGGAGGCCTTGATCATTTATCCCTGTCCGCTCCTGCCCACACAATGAGAACACATTCCTGTTTGAAAACAGGCTGCGGGCTTGACACGTTATTGCAAAATATGGTGCTTATCATAGTGCCAATCACTAATTTCAGCAGGTGTGTGCACTCACTGGCAGATTTGGTGCCAAGTGGTGGGGTGATGGTAATAGGCAAAGAATGATGCCTGGCTCAGAGAAACTGCTGTACCCCCGAGGAACTCACAAGTAAAAGGTGAGGTGAATGTGAAGTGGAGAGAGAATTGGAAAGTTTGACATCACAGATTGGAATTAAATAAAGTATTGCAGTCTTAAAAGAACTCACATGTTCATGTTTCGTAACTCTGTAGAATTCACAAATGCGTCATATTTCACCATCAGCTCTTTTACTGAAAGATCTTGAGGTGGCTCCAACATTATTTCCTGCTAACTGGCTCAAAGGATGAAGTTTTTTTTAAACCTCATTGCTTATGAGGAAGCAAGAAATCATTTAAGGAAATCTCTTTGTAAACGCTTGAAATCTTGGCTGGAGTCGTGCATGCAGCAGAGAAAGTCAATATTGTTATCCTGCTGGAGGGAAAGATGAAGAGATATGAGAGGAAACGGTTTAAAGTCATTGTATGAAAATGCTTTTATTCTGATTCACAAATTGCCTCCGTCAATGCTATAATTATTAATACAGAGTAACATGAAGTTCATGCCAGTGTCCATGAAGCACTGATGAAAGTATTGCCTTAAAACATCAGCACTTAACTTAGATATTTACAAAATAAGATTACAATTGTGCAAACTTGAAACAATCTGTGTGCTCCAGACTTGTTGTGACAATCTTAAAATGTGCATATTTGCAAATATTTTTTAATAAATATCTACAATAAACAAAGGCATTTTAGGCACCAGTTCTTGTTTAAACAAACAAAAACCCAGTCTTAATCCAAACCTGCACCAACGCTTGATCAGTGGCCCTTGGTGTCAGATACAGATGCCCAGAGGCACCCTTTAGAGACGCGCCGGGGGTGGCTTTTTTGATGCTCCAAGCAATTGCTGTAGTATGAAGAGCGAGAGAGCGTAGTGCACTGATCACATATGTTACATGATGTTTGTAACAAATGTATTTATTTTAAGCCAAACCATGATGTTTTTTTCCGAACCCATGTGTTTTTACTGCCTAAACCGGGGGTAGGCAACCTGCAGCTCAGGAGCCTCATGCAGCTTTTCTCCAGTGGCTCCCTGTGACTTTGACAAAAAAAAAAAAAAAATGTAATGAATAACAGCTATTTTTTAACGTTTAATTTTCATTTATCATTGTTGTATTCCTAATGTGATTCTTACATTTTCCAATTGTATAAATTTGTAGCCGATACACTGAATTAAAAAACAAAGTTCAGACATCTCGTCAACGATGTGCGTCATATGTCTACTGCCTGGCGCCTTTTCCTAAAATTTGCCAAATCTCAATAGCAATAGTTAGTCTCGAGTCTCCTTAGTGAGGCTAGCTATTGATTCCAAATCCAAAAAGGAAAACGTAGATTCAACAGGCTGTGTTTTGCAGCTCCAGACAGATTTTTTTTTAACATTGTTTTGTCCAAAAATGGCTCTTTTGATAGTAAAGGTTGCTGACCCCTGGCCTAAACCTAAGGAAGTAAACCTTGAAACAAGTTTTTTTAACCTATGTAGGAAGTTTATTTTGAAAAGAAACAGTATGTATTTAACAAATGGAAACTGTACATTTCCTGTAAAACGGAAGTTTATTTTGAAGTGTCACTTGACACAGTGTCCCTGAGCATCAAAAACTAATGCTAGGGGGTTATCTAGGGCCACTGACCAAGTGTTGGTATTTGATGAGTTGAGAGAGAATGTATTGCAACAACTGAAGAGGGCTGCAGACTGGTTTTACATTTTATCTCTGGCCTCATGTGGTCCTAATTATTTTCTATGCCTCATGTCATTTTCCCAGGACATTTTTAAACAGTGCCAGGTTTCATTTCTCTAACCCAAGCATGTCCCCAGTGTTTATCTTATTAGGATTACCTGTAGCCCCGGATTAGTTTGGTAGATTTATGTTCTGACTAAAAGGGATTGGAAGATGCTGATAGCCATACAGTGATTGATGAATGTTGTGCGTCAGTAAGCTTTTGTTGGTGAATAATTAGAACACAAAGCCATAGCTAATTACTTGAGATGTGCCCTAGCCCATAAGCTATAATTGACTTACACAGTGGGACAGAGGAACCCTCTGGCTCCGACCTCAAATTCCTTTTGTCAACATTTCAGCCCAGTATTGCACAACACAACTTGAGTATTTCTCAACATGTAACATAATGCCTCAGCGAGTACAGGAGCCTGAAGTGACTGAAGGAGTATCAGCATGCATGGACACATGTGTATGTGATAAAGTGCAACAACTAAAGCAAGTCCACTCCAGTTATTTCTCTTTACAGCAGAACACAGACAGCTGTAGGAGTTTGTTTGGCCACAGGTGTCACAGACCACGGCTTTGGACTCTCATACTCTTCAGGGTTAAGCGCTGAATAACCAACAGCCTCCACTGACCTCCTCTTCTGGACCCGATGGAGAAGGATCCGGTAGGTCCCAGTCAAAGGGCTCCTACAGTCTTTGCAGGGATTGTTTTGGAAATGGACTGCCACAATACCCAGATCTGACAGCAAGCTCTTCACCTCCTGCTCCTCCACACACAGAGCCTGGTCCTCCTGGGCAAAGTGGGCCGGTGACAGGGGCAGCATGGCATATGGACCAGGGTACTCAATCCCCTTCAGCCACATACTGTTTGTAATCTGCGTTAGAGTCGAGCGATCGATAGGCACAGGCCGCAGCATGCCCTTAATGACCAGCTGGCACGCATCGGGCACATACGCAGGAATACTGTAGGCCCCCTGAAGGATGCAGCGCTTCAGCCTCCCCATGTTCTCCCCGTAGAAGGGCATGGTGGCTGTCACCATGAAGTACAAGAGAATACCTAAAGCCCAGGTGTCTGAGTAGCGTCCAATGTAACCTTTGTCCTTAAACAGTTCGGGAGCAGCGTATGGTGGGGAGCCACAGAAGTTTGTGAGGAGCTCATTGGGGCCGGTCTCTGTGCTGAAGCCGAAATCTCCCACCTTGATGCAGTAGCTGGTGGTGTAGAAGATGTTCTCCGCCTTCAGGTCTCTGTGGACGATGTTGTTGTCATGCTGAAATATCACAAGAAATGGAAACATTTTTAGGGGATGCAAGGGTTAACAATCCAAATTAAACAACAATAATAACTTCTCTGTTTCTGTGTGTTCATTCACCTTTTTCAAAACATTGTAGAAATATCATTATATCAATTATTATAATATCAGTGGTGAAGTAACTAAGTACATTTACTCAAGTTGTGTGCTTAAGTACAATTTTGAGCTACTTGAATTTCCAATTTCTCCTATTTTATACTTTTACTTCACTACATTTCTGAGGGCAGTGTGCTTTTATCACCACATTATGTACCTTTAGGGCTGCAACTAGTGATTATTTTAATTCTTGAATAATTTGTCGATTATTTTCTTGATTAATCAACATGAAAAATGTTGATCCTTGTTTCCGGAAGCCCAAGATGACGTCCTTTAATGTCTTGTTTACTCCTCAACCCAAATATATTTATTTCATTGTCACAGAGGAGTAAAGAAAAAGTTACTTAAGCCTATTAATCGATTATCAAACAAGGTGGTGATTAATTTAATGGCTGACAACTAATCAACTAATCATTGCAGCTCTATTTATCTTACAGTATAGGGACTAGTTACTTTTCCAGTTCAGATTTTATACGAAAACATATAGTAAGTTTCTAAAATACAGCATGTTGCTAAAGATAATTACACCAGCAGTTTTCAGCCCCACTAGTTTGTGATTCCTGACAAAAAATAAGAGTATAGTTTGGGCCCAATGTCACATTTCAGATGTCTATAAGTTGTTAGAAGTTCCACCAAAGAGAGATTTCTCCTCTAAACGTCTCAGATCGTTTCACTAAAATAACTACAAGGCCCAAAGAGGAAAAATTATCTGGATTTTTACAGTGAACATACAAATAAGAGAAAAGTCAAGAACAAAATAAGTGTATGTTTTTTTCCTTTCCCAAAATATTCATCTCATGGTCAGTTGGATTATCTTGTGACTCTTGGGAGCGATCTGACCCCAAGGTGGGTGGTTTCAGAATAGATTTTGAATCCTGTTATTGGTGTTCAAGTCACTCATTGGATTAGCACGTGAATACTTGTCAGACATGTTCTCAACACATGCTCCCCCTAGACACTGGCCTTTCTGTAGTTCCCTGGGTGAGGACAAAGTATTACGATGAGGCGGCAATTAGTCTCTTTGGTCCTCGTCTCTGAAATAGTGTTAGAGGAGCTGAGGGCATCACGATCTGCACATACCTTCAAAAGGAGCCTTGAAACTCACCTTTTTAGCTTAGCATTCTCTTAATACAGTTTTTTGTCATTTGAAAAATGTATCTTAATTTTAAATTTGCCCCCTTCTGGTACCAGTATTGTCCTTCTTTTGCATGACAGGCAATACGTAAATAAAGTGAACTTGTTTGGGAAGCTACAGGTTGGGAACCACTGGACTAAACTATAATATAAATTAGTTAAAAGAGTTCCATCTCATCCAGCTACAATAATTAAACGTTGCCAACACACTGATGCATCAATATCAACAATCTTATAATGTCACATATAACACCAATGTTTTACTCACAGGGGCCATTTCTCTGCAACATAATTATATACACTTTTGATAATTCAAGTAAAATTTGCTGAAAATACTCATGTACTTTTATGTAAGATTTTCAGATTGCACTTTCATATTGTTATTCTGGTACTTTGATTTAAGTAAAAGATCTGTGTTCTTCTTCTAGCATGGATTAGTATTGTTATCATTAACACAAGACAACAGCTAAATCCCAGTTGGTTATGTTTTCCGATGTTGCTTGCAGCAGTGATCTTATATTCAGATGGACGACAGAGTCCTTAATTATAGGACGTTCTGGTGGCCTCTGGGTTTAATGTTATCAGTGACTGAGAAAACTTTGCTGCTTGTCATCTCCCCCCATTTCCTGTCACCTCTCTAGTGGCTCTCTTCACCATGCTGAATAACTACATAATATGAATTATGAATGCCTCATACATGGATATGAGACACAGGCTGAGCTCAGTGTTGTTGAGTGGATGATGATTGATACCGATGCTGGAGCTCACCATGTGTTTTACAGCAGAGATGATTTGTGCAAACACCAGCTTGGTTTCCAGGTCGTTCAGTTTCCCCCTGGTGGTAATTCTGGAGAACAGGTCCCCACTGCTGCCGTACTCCATCACCAGATACAGCTTCCTGCTGGTCTCCATCACCTCGTACAGACGCACTATGTTGGGGTGGCACAGCTTCTCCATGCAGCTGATCTCTGAGGACATCAGCGTCTGGCTCCTCTTATCCAGACGCATCTTGTCCATGATTTTGACAGCGACTCTCTCTGAGACAGAAGACGAGGGCAGGATTAGATGTCAATGATGGGTTTAGAGAGGGTCTTACAAGGCAACGGGTCAAAATGAGGACAAACATACTTAAGAGATTTAAACACATGAGACTGTTAGATGCACATTAGGGGAGAAGGCTGAGGAATGTATTCCTGGCATCTAATTTAATTGGGAGATTGTTGCAGCATTATTTTAAAGTATGACAAAAATGTGGAAGAGAACCAAGAACCCCCCGACTGTTCAACCTGCACACACATACACACGTGTCATTTTCATAAAGGCATTTCAACAGAAAACAAATGCACTGCAGGGGTTGGGGAAAATCTAGGGTGATCAGAAAGGCTTATTCAGCGGGGGATCGGTCTGCTGTCATGGGAATTATTCACAAACCCCTGATATTATTTGCACAATGTCAAAATTAAACAACGTCAACATCCACATAACAGAAAAGGCTAAAGGTTTCCTGCAGGAAGGGAGGGAATGTGCTTCCTTCCTTCATTAACTTCAGATTCAAACATTAATTATTAAGCAACCCCTGTTTAATGCACAAGCCCAAAATAAAATAGGTACTGTTCTTAAATCTTTTTTATCACAGTCCTGATCCAGGGCTCCTCTGAAAGGAACTCTCTAGAGTTTACTTTTAAAAAGATGACAATCATCTTGTGATATTGAGCCAAATTTACAGATGTACAAACAGCTTAAAGTTCCTTTCTTTGTTTTATTTCTACAATTTTCTCTGATATATTTTTATACGAGGTGACCCCAAATAGTCGACTATTTGATCTAAGCAGCTTGAATCAACCGGCAATCTCAAAGTCCAATCATCATAGTGTCGGGAAAATTAGTCCATTATTCCATCTGAGTTATATCAGGGTGCTGAATGTCTACATTTTACAAAGAATTGCTTGGTTTCTTCCAATAAATCAGGATACATGATCAGAGCACTCACATTAGAATGTATCACCAGCAGAGTGCTAAATGTTTTTTGAACTTATGAACATTTCTTGTGTAGAAACAGCTGTTGGAAAAGCGAATGACGTGTTCTGTCTGTCTGTTTATCTATTAGTCCCCATGCTTCATAGGAATGAAGTTTTGCTGTAGGCCAATGCGGAGGTTAGCCCCCTCTGGTTCCATCATCAAAAAGTTAATGGTATTTTTCCATTGGATTTTGGATAATTGCAGAGAATAAGCTCTGATACAAACAAATGTTTATCATACTTTAACGTTTCGTTCAGCACAGTTGCTTGAGTCAACATCCCGACCACAATGAGGCTGTAAAGCTGTGTTAATGACGTTCTGTAGTCTGATTTAGCCGCTTGTTAATGTCGCCTTTTCATTATGACACAAAAGCTTTAAAATTCACGAGTAGGGTATTTACTGACATTTTTTTTGTGAAAGTCTCTTAGGCTTATGTTAACCACAGCCCTTTTTTTCAGGCATCTAATCAAAACAAAAAAACTCAATGACTTAAGGTGAGGGAACCAGAGTGCTGCAAACTAATTTCTGGGTTTTAGGACTCATTCCTGCACCACTGTATTTCAGTGCTGCAGAACTAGGCAACCCTTACACACAGATATAACCAAGTCAAATTTAAGACTTTTTAATACCTTGTTAATACCAGCTTATATGAAATTTAAGACCAAACCTGCAATGGAAATAAACATCATATATAAAAATGTGTGTAAGCGTTTACTTGAGCATGTGTGTGTCACGCAAACACACTGATGTCAGTTCAAAATGAACAGTAAGGAAAAATGACAACAGTTGGGTGAGTTTAAGTTTAATGTGTTTAACGTAAAACGAAAACAAAATCTCATCGCTGTCATAAATGCTATTTATTATTGCAATTCTTCGGTCTGTCCAGTGATTGTGAACAGTCATTGAGTTTGTCAGGCTGGAGAAATTTTCAAGGTAATGTGACTGAAAACATGAGACCCATCGAATCTGAATTTAAGACAATTTAAGACTTTTTAAGGACTCGTAGACACCCTGACAACAAACAGCTGTGGATGGATAATAAAATAAATTCTAATGCCAAGTCAAGAAGACCAAATGTTCAATTGGGAAAAAAATGGAAACCAGTATGACAAATGAGAATATGGATTCGTGAGCAGAAAAAAACATGATTTGACGATCAGTGACCGATAGGCAAGACTCGACCAATCAAATTCGACTATGCATAACACCCCTAATTTTCACTGTTGTGTTTTGCATGCAGTTCTGTGACAAAATAAGCAAAAGTCTTTGGAAGCTTAGAAGTATTGTTTTCAAGGTGGAGTGAAGATTCAACCGGATGCCGTAGGAAAACTGCTTGCTCAGGGTTATGACACAAACAACAAACATCTGGGATAAAACCGCACAACTAACTCATGATTTCTGACCTTTCGTCAAGGCGTGGATGCCCAACCTGACCGTGGAGAAATTCCCCTGCCCGACCTCTCCACGCAGCTCGTAGAAGCCAACTCTTCGCCCGAGCATCAGGTCATTGACCATCCTCTCGTTGTGGGCCATGTCGTAGACGACCCTCTCAAACGGTGTCTGCCTCATTCTCTCCTCTTCGGTCAGCTGTGGGATGGCAGATACGGCGGGGGAGGCTGGGGTCTTCTTGGGTGACTTTTCCACAGCTGGAGCTTCATCTTTGGATTTTTTGCCCCCTTTCTGCTTCGGCCACAGGCGGGCTTTGATGGCTGCCGTTAGGGAGGAGAGCCAAGTTAGTTATGTTCTGGACCGAAGAAGTCTTACAGGGTTCAGTGTGTGGCTTTTCTATGTAGAGAACATTGGTAATGAGATTGACCTCCATGAGAACTCACTTTAGCCTGTATGTTGTAAAACGTCTGGCCTCTTTTGCAACAGTCCTAACCCGGTTTTATCCCTGGTTTGAGCTTAATTTAGAAGGTGTCGGTGTCTGTTACGAGATGGAGGCCGAATATAACTAGATTGTAAGTTAATTTGCAAATATGTACTAATGTAATATCCTTGTTTCAGACATACAGTGTACGAATGAACTGACGTTAAATCTATTCTCCAGATGCAAAGGGAGGTCTCCTTTAACATTTTATTTGACAAAAACTTTCCACACCTTTTGGGGACAAGTATCTTGCCTGTTTGGACAAGTATCTTATCAGCTTTAGAGGTCCAGACAGATGCTGATATCATCAATTTCAACATGTTTGCTTTTCCTTATAATGATAGACAAAAGCAGGATGTGTCAAGCTTTCCTGTTTTCTTCTGTTCTGGGAACACGCAATCTTATTCTTTGCAAGAAGTTCCCAAGTCTCAGCACATTTCTTTTTCTTTTCTGGCCAAGGTATTAATGTTTTCCAATCAGGACAGTACTCTGAATTTCTTTTTATGTACAGTTTATATCCTGTTCTTTTGTTTGCACGGGAAACTGCTGATTAAGGTTACAGCATTACACAATGAGCAACGAGCAGCAGGGTCAGATGTAACATTGTTCATCCGTCAAGGCTTACGGGCCATGTGGGCGTCTTGTGGAGCAAATACAACCTCTTCAAATGACAGCACGCGAGAGGAAATGGTTGCTGAGTTTAATGAAGTAGACGAAGGTTAATAACAAGGATAACTGACGTTAAACTTCTGCGAATCTACAGAGCAGTAACACTGCACCTCCTCCTGGTCACTGTGTGCTAAATTTAGCCGCAGGTAGGCTTAAAGCGACTGGGATTAACGGCTTCTTTTAGAAACCGTATTAGTGGGTCTAGTCAGTTTGGAATGGATAAAATTCGACCACATAATCATTTCAAACCTTCTTTTTTTTGCTTTTCTTTTGTTACTGCTGCACCTTGTTGCATTGTATTCACTGTATTGTGTTCTGAACATGTTACGTGTTGCTGTATCCATTTTAACACAAAGTACTTAGAATTTACATTTACATTTTTCCTGTACATGCTACCTGCTACTGCTGCACGATGTGTTTGTGGAAATAAATCACCTACAAGTTGTGATTTTAAAGAGAAATGTTGCCTGTTCTTGCCACTTAAGGTAAGGATTAGAAGTTATGAAACACAGGAAATGGCTGTAAATAGTCAGGTTTCTTTACTTAAATGACAAATTGAATAAACTGTCTTTGAAGTACGGTAGCAACCCTAAAAAGGGCCCTTAATAGATTCGGGCCCACCCAACTTCCTTCAAATTTCACTGCAAGGTTTTCTGAAAGGTTGACAGCTCTGTTAAGTTGCATATACTGACATGTAAATAAAACTGCCTTGTCAAATTAAAGCAATTCAGGGCTACACTTGGATGTAGTCACACAGCCATTTTGCAGTTTGAATAGGTTAAAAATAATATGGCGCCTTTGTAAAGGGTTTATGAGTAGTAAATATGCTTTGTCTTCAGTGCTTGTTAATAAATATTTTACTGGTGTCTTACAGATTGGTTAGAAGCCATTAAGAGGAAGTAGTTTGGGGTTGCCAGGTTGTGAAGAATAACTTTGGCTGGTGTTTTTCAGTAACAATGCAGTATATTACTGGTAAACCACAAATTAATAGTAATATAGTGTTATGAATTCATTAATACAGGTTCACAACAGACCTTTTTCACAGCAGATATTACGGCTTGTCAAATTAGGAACAGCACAGGTGTAATTGGTGACATTATAAATGGCTGCATTTTATTTAGGTGAGCTTGTTCCAGGGTGCTGGTATTGTGCGTGCCAGCTAACTGTCATGGCTTACTGGGACAGTTAATGGGACTGAGCGAACCAGGACATGTCAAAATGTCTGCCATGAAAAAGGTCTACCATCTATGCAACTGCTGAGTTAAAGAACTAAATGGACAAAGCATTTGTGATGCTGTCAGGCAAACACAAGCAAAGGGTTTATTCATGACTTGGTAACCTCAAACTTATTCTTCTTAAAGGCCAATAGCTGATCTATAAAGCATGAGTCAGTAATTTATTAGCCATTAGTAATGCCATGAATTCCAGATTGCAAACCCTTTAGGAAAAATGCCTTATCAGAAAGTGGTACCCACATTTGAAACAATACTTTCTGCAAACTCTTCCACACATTCACAGCAACAGACATATAAGAAAAGTATATAAAGCAGATGAGTTTACCTGGGAGCTGTGGGTCCTTCATGTCTGTCCCTCAGGCTCACCTGGCTGTGACTGTAGATGTGAATGGAGCCTCGGATGACTCAGTCGCTCCTGACAATCCTATTAGTGTGGTGTATTAGTGGACTGCTCATTGGGTTATCTGCCATGGACTAAAACAATGGAAATGCTGCATGCACACTTTTGGAGAATAAACTCACACTAACTCAAACACATTCATATGACAAATATTGCCAGCAAATTAAATTATTGAAACGTTACACATATAAGCTGTATAAAGGGAATTCAGGGAGTTCTGATTATTTAGTATGTTAGAAAAATATCTGTTGGATGCAGTGGCGTAAGGTAATCAAAATGGGCCCCAGTGCATGCTGTTGTGATGGGTCCTAATGCACGCTAGTTACTAGTTATAAGGCGCACACACACACACACACACTACTGGCAATTGCTTATACAAAATCCAAAGGAATCTTATTTGGGGAGTATTGTATTGTGTCGTCTTGTCACATGATCAAATAGAGACTTGGCATTAGACAACATCAACATACATGCTACCCAAAAGTCATCACTGCATACCTGCATCTGACAAAAATATCAAAGAGAATAAGAAATTAATTGCTGAACTGAATTGCTTTTTTTAAAAAAATGTATATATAGTTTATTTAGTTGTTGTAAAATAAGCATTTAATTTTGTTATAGATTGCTACTGACTATTTTACCCAAAAAAGAAAAGAAAAGAAAAGAAAAGAAAATTATGACCGAGATGGGTTAGCATTTATAGCAAATGGCACCGTTTTTAATTAAATATGAGGTTTTTTTGGTGGCAATGTGAGATAGAAGAGATAGTTCCACTCAATAATCTTACAGGTTTTACAAATAGTTCAGATCTTTGCTATTTAGCTAATTAAACTTAACAGTTGTTGAATACAGATGTGCTCAGGTTGGTGAACATTGCAATCGCAATAGCTTTGGCATTTCAGACCAGAAACATGACTTTACATGACATCTGTAAGACATTTTAGGTGAAGTCTGGTAAACTGAGATATCAGGTAAAATGGGACAAATAAGGTTTAACATCTTGGGCTCATTAAATGTTACCAGCCAAACATGTTGCTGCATTGTTATGACAGATATCATTTACATGAAACAATCATTTGACTGGTTTGAGATAACTAGGATGGACAGAGCCAAAAATGTCCCCAACCTTTCAAGATAAGCCACGTGGCATGTTGATATTGCATTTCATTAACTGTTTGACTTTTACACAAAACATCTTAATGATACACTTTACTTTTTATGAGAAAGGGTTTTAAATGAGTATTGTGTTTTTAGGCCACCAGGTACCATGACTTAAGCTTTAGTGTGCCACCCTGTGATGTTACAGACATTGAGTATTTTTGTCACTCAAAAAATATTAAAGATAATGCTGTGAGTCCATGTCAGCCACAGTAATCTTGCCTTATTGTTACACGCAAACATGCATTATAGACATTATGGCACTAAGGAAGCAAGCAGCAAATGGACAGGGACAGCATGGCAGAAAGTAGGACAACCGTATAAGAAAACAAAGAAGCCTGACTGTCACATTTCACCTTACCAGCTGACTCATTTTACCTGTCATTACAGTGAAGCAGAGGTACTTGGTAAGTTTGAACGTCTAAAGTTTCTACATTTTCTTACTTGGCATCATATTTAAATGAGACTACAGACATAGGATATATCAGAGATACATAGCAAGTAACACTTTTAGGTGGAAATCTTAGCAATCTACCATAAGGTGTCTTAAATTACCTGACTTCACCCTAAATAAATTGCCACCAGTTTGTCCTGTCAACTTTATAAGGTGAAAAACTGGTGGTGTTGTGTTAATACAGCTTGTTTCTGCTGCCACCAAGTGGACAAAAAGGTGAAATAAACTGAGTAAAGCTGGTCTTTATACAATGTAATTTTCTCACCGGTTAAAGTAAATGAATAACATTCCTCATCCACTGTCTTGTTTGCAAAATAAATTAAAATGTCACCTCCATGGATGTTACAATATTCCCTCACTATAGAAGCCTCAACATAAGTAGCTTTGATTGACATTTACTTTTATCCAATAGCCAGAGCTGGCCTCACATTCTGTCCAATCACAGACGCAGATTAGTTGGCGGGAGAGGAAGAGGCGGGACATCAGAGTGACTGACTGACGAATCAGCGCAGGCTCCTCACCAAGAGGCCGGAAGCACATGCTGGCGCGCTGCTGTTAATGTTGTTGTCATCAGTGGCATGTTTCTAGAAAACCTCTGAGGTTTGTGTGTTTTTTTTTTAGGAATAACGAGCGTGTGAAAAAGCGGAGAATGGCAGCAACGGTGGCTACACCTGTCACCCCCACGGAGCACGACCCGGACCGGTGTGGGAGCGAGGAGGAGAGCCGCGGGGCCGAGGCGGAGGAGGAGAGCAGCCAGCAGCAGACAGGCCCCGCGGCCGCCGTGAGCCACAGCCGACTGTCCAAACTCCCGCTGGCCCGGATCAAAGCGCTCATGAAGACCGACCCAGACGTGTCGCTGGCCAGCCAGGAGTCCGTGTTCATCATCGCTAAAGCCACGGTAAGAACACGGAGGACGCCCTAAAATAACACAGCATGCTCACTCCCTTTAAGTAGCCTGTATTCCCATTTAAAATCAAGCTAGTCAGTAACATCATCAACCTTAATTCGTCTCTGTCATGTATGATCAGTGTGTTCAGTGTGTAAAGTTTAATATAAACTCCAGCAGCTAAGTTAGGGCCTAAACTTCTCAGTCTTACTGTATAACCTGTCCTCTCACCCTGCACCTTCATCAGGATAGCTGTCCTCTCTAATTATATAATTTATTGTGTATATGTGTATAATATAATGTTTATGGACATAAAATGTACCATGTTTGAGCTTGCAAGAAACTAAATTGAACAAATGCTCTACACAAAAATAAAGCAAATAAAAGAGAAACAGAAGGTCAGTGCCACAGAAATTATTAAATATAAAAAATAAAAATATATATTTAAAGGAACACCCTCTGCTTATTGCAAGCATTGTGTGGGGGTTTATAATTTCTAAATTTAAAAAAAATTCAAACTAAATAGTTAAAGTGAGAACCTGAGCAGAATGAATATAACAAGGTGAACCAGGTGACGAAGTGTTTTCTATAATTGACAAAGAATAAATGAAAGTCAGCAATAATGTTCTGTGCAAAATCAGGTCCGATTATCTTTGGGTTCATTTGGACTTATGCCTATATTGATAGTTATATCAATGGGAAAACATCAGTTATTCATCTTCAAATGACAAAACATTAATGTATTTTTTTCTTTCTCCCAGGAGTTGTTTGTTGAGATGATAGCCAAAGATTCCCTGGTGTACGCCCAGCAAGGGAAGAGGAAAACGCTGCAAAGAAAAGACTTGGGTAAGTGCTTTGAAGAAACTATGAATGCGGTTTGCATACATGCAGAGTCAAAAGGAGTTTAAGATGCTGTTCAGCAGATGGACTCTGAGGTTGGTTTAGATCAGTGGTCCCAACTGGTCCAGCAACGGGGTCCAGATTTCTCCGTAGACAAGAGTTCAAGGTCCAAACAGTTTAATATGTTCAGCGTCATACTTGCATTTGGCCTGTTTGCTGTCTCTGTCAAGTAGCTGTCTGATAGTCACTCACTTTACAGCAGGAAACAGTACTTTAAAATAAAAGCTCTGTGCTGAAACTTCACTGTACTTCAAAATAAAGTGTGTTTTTTACAAACTTGACATATTTGCAAGTCCATTCAGAGTGGAGCATGACTCAGCAGTTGGGAGCCACTGGTGTACATGGTGTGAACATATAAATTGTTTCTCGGGAAACTTGATATTGCTCTGACTTTTTTAGAGGACATTGTTAACATATTCGCTAGGGCTGCAACGATTAGTCAACTAATCAATGACTAATCAGCTATTAAAATAATTGGTGATGACTATTTTAGTAGTCGACTAATTTGTTTGAGTCATTTTTCATATAAAAGTACCCCAAAATACTCTTATTGCACCTTCTTACGCTCAAATATTGGCAGCTTTACACACTCTCCCATGACGGTGAACTAAAACCCTTTGGCGTGAGTACGAAGCAAGACATTAGATGACGTAATTTTGGGGTTTGGCAGAGACAGACTGACATTTTTCAACATTTTAACACATTTTTCGATAAAATGATTAGTCGACTAATCGACAGATTAGTCGACAGTGAAAATAATCGTTAGTTGCAGCCCTAATGTTCACTTGGATGTTGACAAACCCACATTTATTAGCACAGCTGTATAGAAACCTGAAAGGTCTGGTAACCAGTTTTGACTTTTATATCTCTCTTTTCTTTTGCCTCGACAGACAATGCAATAGAGGCCATAGATGAATTTGCATTTCTTGAAGGTAAGCCGTGCCAAGACTTTGAAACTTCAAGGTGTTTTTATGTGTAATATTGTCTTTTTATTGGTTTGTAAAAGCAATATGAACATGAAGAAGAAAAATCAATCAGCTGAGCATGAACACCTTTTGTATGTTTCGATCTAACGTCCTCATTACATTCTGCTAACAAGGATGTTGGATCTAACATACAGTCTGCTCAGACAGTTCTGTGCACGTATAATAAAGACATTTTTTTGTACCACAGTTTGTGCTAATTCTTCTTTCTCCTCTCTGTAGGCACACTAGATTAACAGTTGCTTCGAAAGACAAGACAATTGAATATCTGCAACCATCCAAGAAAATTTCTGTTCCGGGGACACGATTTGTTGTGACACCTTTCTCGTACTTTTTCTAAATCAGACTCTCAAATTGGATATTTATAAACACTTTTCTACAATGTGCTATCAAGACGTTTCATACTTTGAAGACATCTGTGGTAATGTGTACATTTTTTGTAAATATTTGTGAGATACTACTGTACAATGGAATAAATGTAAGTTTTAAACGACCCGTTTCGTCGGAATGAAAGTCAGTCTTCATCAGTTTGTCTGATAAATATTGTCATTCTGTGTGTGATCAGTGTTAAAATACCAGTTCTTTAAGGGCTTTTGACACGTGGGTGAAAGTAGACAAATAAAACAAATGTACTATTGCATTAAAGAGAAAGAAAACATTACTTTATCAGCTTTACTTTATCAAATCCTCACAGGACTATCATGGTAATTCAAGCTGGAAATCTTGGTACTATTTGTTAGTGGGCTTTTTTTTTTTTTTTTTTTTTTTTTTTTAATTGTATCAATTTGGGAAGGATGATTTTGATTCGTAGTGCTGAGGGTGACCCTGCTAACTTTTTTTATTTGTCATGAACCATGTTGCTTGCTGGTTTAATCTATCTGTACTTCTGTAGCACTCTCCTCCAGGGCTCTGTTGTCTCTGACATCATTTTTGTTGAGTTAAATGCCTCGGCTCACACACACACCCTCAGAATAAATAATCTGGAGTTTTATGGAAGTGGCAGCCAAATAAACTTTTGATGAGATTATCAGAAGACAAGAAAACCATGTAGAGTGAATCAGCCTTGGTCTGGAAAGACGCCATCTTACAGGTCATTGGACTTATGAGCTTCTCCCACTTAATGTCACCTGCTCTCATAAATCATCTTCGAGGGTTGACGCAGTATCATTTACTTGACAGTAAATGTGCCAGACTGAATTTAATCTGAAGAACTTGCAGCGAAAAGAACAAGAAAAAATGAAAAAAATCAGAGAAAATGCAGTTGACGTGTTTCTAGGTGGGATGCAAGCAACGCTCACTCTCAGTTGGGAAACCACATTGTTCTCGATTGCTACACTGAACAGCTTCCTCCTCACTTCGTGCACAGCTCAGGTGGATCAGTTTTAACATCCTGCAGCAAAGTGTGTCAACACCTCTGTCCAAGGTGCTGATCCTGGACCTCCAGGGATGCCGGAGCTGTCCAGGGTACTGCCCTTGTTGACATGTTTAAGGGAGGGCATTCTGCTGTTAAAGATGACGGGTTGTAATCTTAACTGTCTGGACTAATGGGTTCAACTGGAAACTAGAATTGTAAAAAAAATGTTTGTTTATTCGATCATTTCACGACCACTGTTTTTTTTGTCTTGTTGTCAGTGCTGAAATGTTGCTGCTGTTACCTACTTGTATGGATATTAATTAGCTGTTTTATATGCCAATTGGAACCAAAAATCACAGACACAAAGCACTGGTGAAACTAGAAAATGTGCCTCAAAAGATTTTAAACTACATGTTTAACCTTCAGTATTGCATCTTAAAATTAACCCACTATGTGTGCCCAGTTTATTTTGCTTATAGTGCAACAAGGCCCTTTGGATTTTTTTTGCATCATTGAAAGGCTGGGCCCTGAGGTAGTTTACGGCCGTGGTTGCAGACCCTTTGGTCTTCCCAGGCCAGATGAGATATGTAATCCCTCCAGTGTGTTCTGGGTCTGCCCCGGGGCCTCCTACCAGTGGGACATGCCCAGAACACCTCTAAAGGGAGGTGCCCAGGAGGCATCCTGATCAGATGGCCGAACCACCTCAACGGACCCTTTTCAACGTGAAGGAGCAGCAGCACTACACTGAGCTCCCTCCAGATGTCTGAGCTCCTTACCTTATCTCTAAGGCTGTGCCCAGCCACCCCACGGAGGAAACTGTATTGAATTGTGAGCAGGTCATTATACAGCTGGAAATATATATAGGTTTGTGCTGTGGACAAACAGAAACACCAAATGACTGCAACATATCCTAGGCATTTACTGCTCTCTCTTTTTGTTTATCAGCCAACTTATTTGCTAATACTGTTACATCTGTGATAAACTAATATCGGCCTGGCCAACATCAGTTGGGATCTAATTTGGAATGCAGAGGACGTTTGGCTACAGATTGATAAAGATGTTTTTAAAGATTATTTTTTGATGGAACAGTGGTAGTGCAAAAGGGGGAAAAGAGAGGGGATGACATGCAGCAAAGGGCTGAAGGTCAGAATTGAACCTGCAGCCACTGCGGCAAGGACGGAGCCTTTGTACATGGGGCACCAGCTCTACCAGGTGAGCTACTCAGTACCCTGAACAAAGATGTTTTTGTGTTTGACACCATGGTATATCCTCCTGAGACCCTTGCTGCACTGTATATTTCATTCTGCTTAACTTAGACCTGTTGTCCTTGTTCATAGACACTTTAATGAGCCGTAGTAAGACCACGATACGCTAACCCATGTAAAAACAAGATGGCAGCCATCTCTGCCATGTCAGTCTGCAGCTGACCCTGACACAAAAGTAGACAAGGTCCAAAACCTGATCACATTTTATGGTTGAAACTTTTTTATGGTTGAAATGTTTGATACGGCAACAGATTTACTAATTTTACCAACAGTAAAAAGCTTTTACAATCACCACGTTTGAGGACGTCATCTTGTTTGAGGATGTTGGGACTACAGACAAAAGGACATTCCTTGCTTGGAGTATGGAAAAAGGAAAATTCATCCAGACTTTTAGATACGGTGCATTATTTTTAATTTAGTTTATGCACAACAGCGTTCATAAACTGTTGACATAAACTGTTTTATCCTTTATTACACACTGTGACCATTAAAAATAAACCCAACATCTTTTTTTCTCCAGAACAACTTCCTGTTCAAAGACAATGTTTAGTTTTTTATATTTATCAGGGCTTACTGATACAGCAAACAGCTTGGAGACATTAAAAATGCCGACCAGAACAGAAGCTGAGGTCTCAGGAGGATATTAAATCATTATTTTCCCAGTGTTACCAACAGTATGTCTCTTGGAAAAGTGGCGAAACAATAAATATTATATCATCAGCATTTGTTTAATTCTCAGTTTTGCTGCTGCAGCAGTTCACTAAAGTGCAATACAAGCCAGTGGTGAAAGTTAAATGTCTTGCTCAACACGGTGACTGTTGTATGACACTGAGAAAATCACACGGAGCTCCGAGTTTGCATTAAGAATGTATCTGAATCTCTCCAGACCTGCGATGTGTGTTGTTCTTCCTGGCAGCATTTGTTAAACACATCCAAAGTGTTCAGTTACACACTCTAGGCACAGTCAAGACCCCTTGAGTTTTTGCAGCAGGGATTTTCAAAATAAATGCCTGAGTGTGTTTAAGCTGATTTTCTGGGTTTAGTGTTTCGAGGAGTAATGAAACAGAGCTGTGAGAAGCACAAATGTTTGGTTCCAGAAGAGCACCAGTCAACTCCCTGCAGAGGAATGCCTGACTGGCACAGGGGAACACGGAGTGCTCTTTTCTAATAAAATATAATCACATGTCGAAGGATTGGACATCATTTTATTTCCACAGTCAATAAAGACATTCCATTTAGGAAATCTCACGTGAAAAGAAAATGTAGAGCCTCCCCCCGTCCAAGAGCAGGACATGAAGAGTGGATCTGGGACTGGCTGGCCTCAGAGTCCTTCTTTGGATTGATGGGAAAATGGCATGCTGAGAGAATAAACTTTTATCCACTGGCTTTGTTTCTTTACTTATTTCAGATATATAGTAAAGCTCAGTAGAATTACATTTATAATCAGATCACAGGCACAGATTGGAGTAAAATTGGCTTAGTATGTTTCTGCAAACCGTCACATGTGTGTTTCATACATAGTGGATTTGTTGAAACTGTATGCTTCTTTTATTTTCATTTCAACTCTTACATTTATGTTGTGACAATGCTGTGGACAATATATGGTCAGGTTTAGGCACAGAAACCATTTGGGTAGGGTTGGGAAAACATCATGTTTTGGTTCAAAATACCCGATTTGGTTGCAACAAACATGGCTGATGTCCCAAAGTTTCCTTAAAATACCCGCTTTCGTTGTTTGTTGGTGTTGAACAGTGGTCTGCTGCTCTCTGCTGCTAGTCTCATCCAGGTTTCACACCATTCACATCCCCTCCACCTTCTGATGAGAAACATATACATGTAGGCTAATCTGAACTACATCACTTTAGAATTGTTGATATGACACATACAAATGTAAAACATCCATGGTTTGCTGCAAGGTACAATGCCAACATTTAATTCTGGCGAGTGGGCTGAATGTTCTGCTTTTCAGTTTAAGATTCTTGATACGGAAGAAATAGTTTAACACTTTGGGAAATGCACCTATTTGTTATCTTGCTGAGAGTTAGACGGGAAGATCAATGTACTTCAATGTCTATTTGCTGAACATGAAGCTAAAGCTAAAGGGCGATTACTTACTTACAGCATACCAACGTGTAACAGCTCGCCTGGCTCTGTCAGTTTAATGATAATGCAGCACATAGTAATTGAGACATTTCACTTTAAACTATAAATGTGAACTTGGTGGCACAAGAGGAAAATCACTGACACACATTACCATGGCCAGGGGTAGGCAACCTGTGGCTCCAGAACCACATGCGGCTCTTTCGCCCCTCTGCAGTGGCTCCTGTGGCTTTGACAAAAAAATATGTAAATGAATAACGGTCATTTTTTAACATTTTAACTTCCATTTATCATCTTTGTTAACCTCAATTATACATTCTCTTACTGTTGAAATGTTTAGCCTATGCACCAAATCAGAAAAATGTTTTAACATTTTATCAACTAAAAATGTGCGTCACATGTCTACGATCCAGCACCTTTCCGAACCTCTATAGCAGTAGCTAGCCCTAAGTCTCCCAAGCTAGACTAGCTATGGATTCCAAATTCAAAAAAGAAAAGGTCTTGTTTGTTTGCTTTTATTGCCAACTCTACAAAGTTTAAGTACGGAATAATCATAAAGAGCCCGCTGTGGAGTAGCTACTTTGTGGTAAAACATATTATTGAATGCTCATTTAGACCTATTAATAATGTCGATAGGCTAATTTAGACATAATAAGCTGTGTTACCTTCATTCATTCATTCATTTTCCATAACAGCTTATCCTATTAGGGGTCGCTGGGGTGCTAGAGCTTATCCTAGCTGACACTGGGCGAGAGGCGTGACACACCATGGATACCCTTAGATTTAGTATAAAACTCAAATATGTTTTGTGGCTACAGACAGATTTTCTTAAACTATTTTGGTCAAAAATGGCTCTTTCCATAGTAAAGGTTGCTGACCCCCGGTCTAGGCACACCAGGGGCAACGAGTCTCATCTCTAGTCGTTACTAAAATGATGCCAGGGGCAGCCTTTTGCATTGTGTCTTGAGGCAGAAAGGGTCAGCTGTAAGAGCTGGTTGGCGGTTAGGTTTTGGCAACAAAACTGCTTGTTTTTGTGAGGAAAAGATTGTAGTTGTCGTAAAAAAAAATACTCCTGGCTTTGACTGGCAGATATGCAGTGGGCAGAAGGGGTTAGGGGTTAGGGTTAGGCACTAAAACTACGCGGTTATGAGGTTGAAGATACAAGCAGCCAAAATGAGTTTCCTCAGAAGGGTTGCTGGGTTCAGCCTTAGAGATAGGGTAAAAGGGTACAGTTTAGGTGGTACGGGCATCTGATCAGGATGCCTCCTGGGTGCCTCCCGAGAGGGACGTCTGGAGTGCTTTGCCCGGCCTGCTACCCCTGTGACCTGGCTTCGGATAAGCAGTTGGAAATGGAATGGAATAGTTATGGTTAGGGAAAGATAGCAAATGTCACTATTGAACACCTGGTTTTGAGTGGCGCAAACATAGTTGGAAAGGCAGCAGTGTGTCATGACAAAGCACCCTGCTCTGAGTGGTTCAAACGCAGCAGAAAAGGCAATGGTGTATCGTAAAAAAAAAACCACACAGCTTTGAGTGGCACAAATGTCGCAACTGATGTTGTTTGTTACAGTAGTCTCGAGCACCGTTCTCTGTCCAACACCCACCCACCCTGAGGAGACTTTCACACTCTTTAAACTATGTCCATTACTCTGAGCTTCTAATAATGGCATGAATGGGTTTACATTGGAGTTGGTTGAAAGCCCAGATCGCTTTATACAGACACTAAACTGTGTCCCTGGCGTCACTATAATGACACTGGGGACACTGCCCAAACAGCTTATTTTGATGCCCTTGGAGTGAAACTAGGCTGCCATGGGTTTCTATACCAAATGTAATGGCCACCTATCCAGTAGTTATTAGGACATTTCAAAAACCAAAAATGCCAATAGATTTATTGCAGCGTTGGCCAAAGTCATGGACTGACTGACATTGTAGTTCCTTCTTATCCAAAACTCTGCTGACCTGCTGTTTAATCTGATCTGAAACCAAACGGTGTCACAAGCCGGAACTACTGGAATTTCTCTGTGAACATCATGTTAATTATTCCCAGATCCACCATCGTAATGTTCTTTGTGCAGAAAACAATGTAGGAATGTGCTGTTCATCATTCTGCATTCCACACAGCTTGTTGTCTGATTCATACACCTCCCTGTTTGCCTCGTTTCAAGGATCAGTTCAAGAATTGCCCCCCGCATTTTATCCCTCGGAAATCCCATTCAGGTACAGTAAGATCTCTGAGACGGCAGTGAACCGAGGCCTCCAACATCTGCAGGAGGCCATATTATCCCTCCATATACCTCCACCCCCTCAAAGAGGAAGACATTACACTGTCCGCCCCACTTTTCACTGCTATTGCTTTTGTTTCCGATTGCCGACGTTTTAGTGTCTGCACACCTTGACAGGAGATATTTTAATTGCTCCAAAGATACGCGGAAAATGTATCTGGCTCTCAAGCCGACCTGTAGTCATGTGGAAGGTATGTTTTTGCAGCTGACATTCCAACCTGATTTCTTGGGTCAATTTCTTGAACAGTTAACCCCACCTCCAACACACACACATGTAGACACACAGTTTTACCCCGGCCTCACCCTTCAGTGAACAGGCTGCATATTTTCACATCCAGGGTTTCGGATATGTAAGCCCATAAGCGACATATTGTTGCCTTATTGTCTGGATATTTCTCAGTTCTTCCACCAAGTGTTGCAGGAGCCAGAGGATAATTTGTCCAATGTTAAGATCTGTTTAACCACAGGAACTAGGCAGGCCCATATTGATCTACCCTTACAAAATGTGTCCATTACATGTCCCGCATTAGTGTCGAAAGCAATATTTCCTTGCATGAGCAGTGACTCATGGTTCCAGTAGTGCCTTGCCAACGTACTTAACATTTGTCTACATTTGTTTTTTCCAGAGTACGTTATGTCCGAAGCATTTAGGCTAATGAAGTTTGATGTATTGTTTGAATTTGGAGGGCTAATTTATGTATTTTTGACTGTAGGAACACTTTTATAGCTGTTTTCCCCTCGTAATTTGCACAAGATTATTTCATGGAACCACCCTGGGAGTTTTAGTGAGACAGTTTTGTAAGTGATGTTTAAAAGAAAAATAACTATCAGTGATGTATGTTGCATTCCTGTGTCATTTTTGTTTGGGGATGCATCCTGGTTCTCCTTGCGGATAGCCGGCCAGTATAAATAACATGGCTCCATGTCAGAAGTTTTGTAGCAAATCTACAATGGGAAATGATAGCAGAAGCCTTCTCAGCTATCTAAACCATCAACTATAAATGTCAGATTTTGGTGTTGATCCAACAGGAATAACTTAAGGGATTGTACAAGTTTCTCCACCCTCCAACAGCAGCCTCACTACATCAGGATAAGTGCAGCCACAAGTCTGATGAGGAGCAGGCAGAGGAATTTAAAGTGCAGGAAATCAGGAAGAAAGATTTATCAAGGCAAAACAGCAAAAAAGCTAGGTGATGCACACAAGACAATCTGGCAGAAGAACAATAGATGTAGGGTGGTATATAGAGAGTGGCTGATGAGGGAATGAGGTGCAGGTGGGGAAGCTCAGGTGAAAGGAATGAGATGATTGCAGGGTGAGAGGGTGTGGCAGGATCTGAAACAACAGGAGAATTAAGCCTTGTTTAAACTGCCAGCCCAAATCTGTTTCTGGCATATCCAGATTGATTTTAGAAAGTCTGGACAGCAAAAAAACCCACATGAAATATGGAAATCCAAACCACATTTGGAGGTGTTTTGAAATGAAATTCCAATCAGACTTCTACAGTTGCTTCTCAGTGCGGATGCTTTGACCACTTAAATTGGATTTCAAAGTGTCTTTTGTGTAACATTACTGTATCACTGAAGCTGAGAGTACAAATCTACCTCACTATCAAGTGTTAAACAGGACTGATGACACAACCTGGACACTGTAGAGGTTAACTGTGGGGTTGACAATGTCATATACGACATAACATTACTAATATAAAATATCTCTAAAATGCTGCATGAGGGAGACTTAATTAATCTTGCCCAGAAGCTAACATTAACCTTTGTGCAGCTCCAACCGGGGCTCCAGCCTTGAACTACAGTGTCTTTTTGGACTCTTTGTAAAATAAATCCATAACAATGAATCCAACACTGAATGTCCTCTGTGATTATTTATCAATTTTTCAGTGTTAAAAACATTTGATGTTGCTGTTGTTAGCCTCCATTGCTTATGCTTTCACGTTAGAAAGCCACATAATCACCATAGCTTTGTAGTTACTGATGCCACGATGTTACCAAAGCAGACCATGCAGACAGGTTGGTGCTGCCTGGACACACAAATCTGATCTGATCACTTATTGCAAATAACAGCGCGGACAGTCTGTCTTGATTTGCCTGATCTGCATTAGTGAAATGGCGTAAAACAGGACAGATGAAGAAACAAAGTTGACAGTGGTCTCCTGACAAATTAACAGCTTTTGAACAAATTGGTAATGCCTCTAGAGCAACCTGAGGCCTGTACTATGAAGCAGGATTTGGAGTTAGCGAGGTACCTTAAGGGTTAACTCTGGGTTTTCAGTACTACAAGCTGGTTCTCTTTTTATCAAGACGAATCACCATGGTAGGCTACCTTATGTTGAACAGCTAACCTGCTCAGGAGTAAGTTATGTTCAGGGTATCGGATCATAGCCTGTCAATACCCTGACCACTGACCAATCAGATCACTGCAGAAAAAGGTATCCATGGACAAAAGTCTGGAGTCTCAGGTAAAAAAAGTGTAGCCTGTATATTATAGGTATCTTATTATAGGTTAGTAGACTTATTTCATTGTTCCACGGCTACATTTCCACTGGTTTTAAAACAGAGCTTCTAACAAACACAGAGATGGTTTACACACTAAACACATGATTTTAGCAGCATTTTAACTTATGCAAAGTTTATTTTAGCCCACAGTGAGTGCTAACAGTGTTGCTATTTTACACTCTGATTCCATCGCTGCAGCTAAAAATAACAAGACACCTGTTTGATGAGAACAATCCACACACTGTTAATTAGTTCCTGTTATTATAAATGCAACATTCTGGTCCGATAGACCTCATGAGTCATTAACTAGGCTACTTTTCCGCCCTTTACTTCAGTAGCAGAAACAGTCTGTTAAGTGTTTAATGTGACATATTCAGATACTTCCGTCATCATCCAACTAAATAGCAAAAAAATACCCTATACTAATGTCACATAT